TATTGAGATTTATAAAAAAAAAAAAAAAAAAAAAACATAAATATTATGAATATTATTTATTTTATTTCTTTAGAAATATATTTATTTATTGGATTATTTGATCTATCTCTCATCTATCTTTGTATTATTTTATTTAACAATTGCACATATTTAATTATATTTATTTTTTTTATTAAAGTTTTTTTATTTTATGATTTTTTCCTATTTTCTCTTTTCATTTTAATGATTAATAAAAATATTAATTGAAATTAGAGGAGGAATCTTTTCATAATATACACAAAAAATTATTTATAAAAATAAAAAAGATGAAAATAAAATAAAAAATAAAAATATACGCAATTGTTAAATTTTTACATATAAAATGTGTGGGTATCGCACATGCTATTCAAATAGAGTCACGTGAGTTTCATCTAAAATAATCTACTAATGAAAAAATTTAGATTTTCATTTATATTTTAATTTATTTTTTTTTCCCTTTATTTTTACTATTTAATATATTAAGATATTATAATATCATTTAAAAAAATAAAAACGAATATTAAAATTTATTTTTTCATTTTAATTGTTTAATTATCCCATTCAATAAGTAAATTGTTATAAACTTTAATTAGTTTTAAATACCAAAAACGCATCTCTTTTCTATTATTAGTTAGTTAATATTTTTAACATTTTAAATTATAATAATAGCTATTTTTTTTTATTATTATTTTTAATTGTTTTACTATTTCTATTTTTATTTTTATCATTAGTTTTATACTTTTATTTTTTTATTATTATTAATTATTATTATTTTATTTTGTAAATATGATTTGTTATTAATATATATCTGTATCTTATGTGTGTTACTTGTTATTATCTAGATTTAATATTAAAATATGTAAAAGTTTTTGATGTTGCTTTTTTAATAGCTCAATTTGGACTAAATGTTGTTCTTGAAAGTATTGCGTTTGTTTTTTATCTACCAAGTTCGATAATAGTTCCATTTGTTGTTTTGATTTTAGTGTGTTTAGTTCTTGAGTAAACAAATGCTCTTCTAAATAGCTTTTTGATTCAAACTTTATACTATTGATATATGTGGCTTCTAAATTTCTTAATTGGTCCTTTAAATGGGAAATAGTTTTCATTCTTTCCTCATCTAAAATGTCCCCACTTGTAAAATTTGGAATAGATTCTAGAATATATAGACGAGAATTGACAAGTTGCAATAAAATTGATATTTCACTTGATATAATTTGCGTGATATTTGGTTGTTGAGGTTGGTTAATATAATAATCATTTAAAGATTTCGATAAAATTGATGGTGTTTTATTTTTTATATCTTGTTGCTTTGTATATATTGTTTTGTTATTGTTACTGTTGTTACTGTTGTTGCTGTTGCTGTTATTGTTGGTATCTTCATCGGTGCTACTATTACAACTAATATTACCAATGTTTGAAGTTCCATTACATAAAGTAAATAATTTATTTAAATGATAAATAATATCTTCTCTATGACCAAATGGTTCGATACCCAATTCATTCTTTAAGTGAAGGTGGTTAATCTTTTCTATATGAAAACCATTTATATTATTATCTCTAAAATTTTTAGAGTATTGTCCATATCCAATAGATTCCAACCAGACGATAACATCATTTAAGTGCCATTTCTTATATGCATTTTTTTGAATGGGACCATATAACACTATCGCATTTGAGGTGTTAATTATATTAACGTTGCCATTGTTCGCTAAGTTGGTGTTGGTGTTTGAGTTGATAATAATATTATTTGTACTACTATTAATTTTGCATACAGATGGAGATATTGTTGGTATTTCATTTGGATTAAATTTGAAGTAAAGTGATTTTCCAGGGAAAGTTGCTACACAAACCACACCACTAATATCTTTAAACGAAATGCATGGGTATAGTGGTTCATTGGTTATATCCTTCCAAAAAGCTACACCTAAATATTCACCATTCTTTGTGAAAAATATTTCCCTGCTAATCATGTTGATACCACAGCCAATGACACAGCTTGAACCATCATTAATAAAATACGATGGTCCATATTGATCACCCTGATCATTATTGTGGCTATTTCCATCAAACTTTCTACCGTCACTACAATAACCAAATGACTTGGACTCTAAACCAATTTGCTTACTAAATGGATATGTTGAATGGGTTAAACCTACGGTGACAATTCCATTTTTTCTATCAGTTGGACCTTCTAAATAAACTTCAAAGTAACATAGTGTAACATTACTAGAAAATTGAAATGGATAATTTGACATTGCTACTGATGTTTTTTTTTTCGTCGTTTCCAATGTAATTTCATCTTTCATTTTTATTGATTTACTGCATCGTCTCCAAGCGGATGGCGGTGAGTGGCTTTGAGGCTGAGCACCACATAAAGGTGATGTAAATCCCAGGCAATTGGGGGAACTAATATCACAGACGTTTTTTGGGCTATTACTAAAACTATTTACTTTAATGTTACTTTCTACTTGATCACAGCTACTTTTATTAGGATTATTACCACTAAGTTTCTTGTTTTCTGGGTTATATTTAAATGGCTGTGTGAATACCCCTGTAATAGAAGTCCCTGGTTCGTAAAAAGCTACTGACGGATATAAAATACCATAAACATTTTCAAAAGCAGTCCCAAGATATTCCCCATTCTTTGTAAAATATATTTCTCTTCTTTTAAATGAAATTCCGCAACCAATAACATCACCTTTCTTAAAGCCAGGTCCATAAACTTCAACCAAGTAACCTCCATCTTTGTCGCTCTCTTTCCATTTGTGCTTAGTCCCATCGTCGCTATGATAACCATAAGATCTTTTGCCATAGCCAATATGTTGATTAGTAGGATACTCTTGATTAACAAGCCCAATTGAAAGGGCACCATTGTCCAAATTATTTATAACAATTTCAAAATAATTAAAATCTTCCTGTAATGGTAAATTTGATCTAATATTTCCTACACACTCCTTAGTATTGGTAATATCATTTGGAAGATATGCTGTGAGTGATGTTTCACTATCTATTACTATATTTTTTGCCACCTTATCTTCACCTTTATTCCAAATGTAATAAATAACCTCCTCATCCCCCACTAAAGTTCCCTCACCACCAATAGATAACGGTTCGTTCCCATGATGATTTGATCCACCTGTTGTTGGTGTAGTTGAGGATGTCGGTGTGGTATGTAATGAGGAGGAATTAAAATTTTGAAATTGTGGAAAGGAGTTAATTACTATAGATTCACCTGCTGACTCTAACCCTACCGTTGGAAATAAACCATGGATATTTAGTTTTTTATATGCTATACCTAGATACTCCCCATTTTTGGTAAAATATAACGATTTTGAACTTGAATCATAACCACATCCGATAACATCACCACTTGTAAAAGTTGGCCCATAATCTTTGATTTCGTTCACGCCAAAATAAAATTTCCCATCGCCCATATAACCATAGCTACCTTCAAAACAACCTGGATAAATATCATTTGGATGCTCTTGACTGGTTAACCCAATACAAATTTTGCAATTTATATTTCTATATACACATTATTATTTTTAAAAAATAATAAGTATTTATTTATCTTTTGTATGTTTATTTGTTTAAACATTTTATATTTACTCTCTATTATCATTTGTTATAAATAATTCGAAATAAGAAAAAGAGTTTGAAAAAGGTATTGTTGATTTTGCTATCTGTGAAAAAAAAAAAAAATAAGAAAAATGAAATGAATATTTAAATTAAAATATAAAAAAAAAAAAATTTTAAATTTTAAATTTTAAAAAAAAAAAAAAAAAATATAAAAAAAAAAAAAAAGAATAAAATAAATAAAGAAAAAATTAGAACATACCGTCTTTACTGATGAGTCTAATTTTTTATAGGAGCATTTGTTTTTGTCCTCTATTTCTAAAAGATCTGAATTTACATTCAATAAATCCCAATTAAATTCGCATGTTGTAATTTTTTTTTTATTAAATAGTTTTTCAACAAAGCTCATTATTTGGTTTATTTCCTGTAACAAACATTTAAAACTTTATTATAGATATTTTGCTATTATTAACTAATGTTATAATTATAACATGTACTATATTATTATTACAATATTAAACTTTTATTAAATGTTAGAATAAAAAAAAAAAAAAAAAAAAAAAACTGAACTGAGTGTTAAAAATTAAAATAAATAAAAAAAAAATGGAAATAAAAAAAATAATTGAATTCCTGTTTTGTATGGAGTTTTGACTTATATATACAAACCACATTGTTTTTTTATTTTTTATAAATTATAAAAATAAAATTTTAAATGAAAAAAAAAAAATAAAAATAAAAATAAAAAAAGGGGGTATTTATATAGTGTGGTTGGGTTATATGTTGGGTTAAACAATAAAAAATAATGTTTAATTATTTGAAGAAAGAAATAAATGGGATGTGAGTGAATAAAACAGAACATTAAATATAGAACCACCTTAGTGGTAATGTGGTATTTACGGGAGAAAACGAACAAATGTCAAAATTTTTTATTTTTATATAATTTTCTTTTTTTATTATAATTTTAACTATTATAATAAAAATCAAATGTAAAATTTTCATGAATATTTGTTTACAAATTTTTATTAAAATATATGTGTATATAATTAAAAACAATCTATATTAATTCTAGAATATTAATATTATTATTTCTATATAGAAATAAAATTTTATTTCTTTTCATTGCCCAATAACGGATTTTTTTTTGTTCTTTCATTAATGAACAAATGAGTGATCACCCCTAAATTTTCAAAAATTAAATCCAAGCAAAAAAAAAATAAAAATAAAAAAAATAGTAAAAATAATTTTTTTTTTTTTTCCTCAGAAATGAGGACAAATCACTTGGTTAGGTTTTTAAAATAAAAAAATTTGGTTTGTTATAATTAATTATTGTTTTTTTATTTTTTTTAATATGGTCTAAAAATCACAAAAATTTTAAAGTTTAAGCATTTTTCTTTGTGTTCAGTTATTAAATTTGTGCAGGTGGGTTTATTATTGGGGAAAATAATTTTAAAAAAAAAATATCCCAGGAACACTGAAAAATCATGCACACAACGACAAAAGTTTTTTTATAAGAACAATCATAATATCAATAGTTATAGTAATAAAAATAATAAAAATAAAAAATTATATAAAAATAGGTTTTAAGGTTATATTATTTTTATTAAAAAAACATTTTTAATGTAATATTTTATTTATCTAATAATTATAATGTTTAATAAAATGGTTCACTTTATGATTTAATAATAAATTTTATAAAATTATTTTTTGTTTTTAGAAAATATATTTTTTTTTTGAGGGTTTTTTTTTTTTAATTATCGGTTACAATTAAATCAATGATTTCATTATTTTCTAAGCCAATTGAAGCTGGTGTACTTTCTGGAGATAACGCTTTATTACGGAAGAGGAAACGAATAGAGTTTGAGTCACAGCCAATCTTTTTTGATGATGAATCCATGATCTTTTTAAATGGTTGAGATTTTTTGATGTTATATACGAATTGGCCTTTGTTGGTGCTAATCTGGACATTAATGTCCTCATTATCTTCGTTGTTACCACTATCGTTTTTTTCATCATTATCAGTATATTCGCCGCTGCCATTACTACGATGATGACCATTGATACCATTTGCTTTTTTGTTGGTATTATTTTCATTATGATTTTCGAGATCCATTTCGAGATTTGATTCACCATCACTACTATCGCCTTGTGGTTGTTCTTGTTGCTCTTGTTGCTCTTGTTCTTGGTGTTCCTCTTGGTGTTCTTGTTCTTGTTGTTGTTGTTGATGTTTATGTGATTTTTTTTTATTATTAGCTGAAACTACTTCAATGTCTTCGTGATCATGATGTTCGTCAATACTATCAAAGCTACTATCGTTAATATTATTTTTACTAATGTTATTTATTTTACTATTGTTACTATTATTTTTATAAAGTTCTTTCTCTAAACGTGAAATTTTATTTTGGTAGTATTCATTTTGTTGCTGAAGTTTGTGGATTTGTTGCGGGGTTAAGTTTTGTGGACTATCATTAATTACTTGAATTGTATCATCGTCTCCCTCTAATGAGTAACCAGAGACGTCATTATCTAAATATAAGTTTGGTGGCCATATTTCTGGATTGGTTTCGGTTGGATTGCAATTGAAATAGAAAGTGTAAAGTTCAATACAACGTTCATAACGCTTTCTCTTTACATCCAATGAATCATTCATACCAAAAATTGGATTGTGATGAACTTCTGATCTAATTAAATTTAATAATTCTTTATATTTAATAGTATTTAAAATAACTTCACACCATACCTAAAGTAGATAAAATAAAATTAGCTATTATTATTTTATTATTAATATTATCTACATCATAAATTATAATACTAACCTTATTAACTAATGGTGGGGCTAATAATTTTGTTGTTAAAACATCAACACCATTATCATTATCCATAACTTTTAATACAATAAATTTTACAAATTCTTCGGTTAACTTTAATGCTGGTGAGAAATTTAATCTCTTTAAAATGAAATAAAAACTAAAATTACCCAAAATTCTATGCTCCAGTTCTAAGGCTTTTTGTTTATGATTGTCTTCGTAGAGGTTTTGCATAGAAATGGTTGGTGTATTTGAACTTGATGAAATACCACTTGATGCAGTGGTGATTGTAGCTTTATTACTCGAATAATAGTTGAAACCTGAGTTTATTTTCTTGCTTGGAGTAGTTGTAATTGGGGAAGATGATTCGTTATAGTCATTTGAGGAGGAGTCGTCGAAATCGAGTGTATTCATTGCCCTTTTCTTTTCGCTTATTGTCAAGTTGTTTGGTGAATGGGTTGATGGAGTCATGATATTTGCGTTGCTACCATTCATATTTAAGCCAACTCCACTATTGTTAAGAGAACCGCCGCTGCCACTTCCAATGCCAACTCCACTGCTATTTAAAGAATTGATTTGACTGCCAGTACCACCCATGCTACTACTGAGAATCCCTGCTGCTGTGTTGGCATTATTGTTCATCATTTCTTCTTTAAGTAACTCTTTTAATCTGTTGATTAAATCATCTTTATAATAAAACGAGGTTTTAATGACACCACCTCTTTGTGCAATGGCACTCTTTAATTGACTCGATGTTAATACTGAAATTGGTTTTCCAAAAACTTTATGTTCATATTGTTGAAACTCTTGATCATAGTCTGTTGTCATTTTTCTTTGTTGTAATTATATATATATATACTAAAAAAAAAAAATAAAAAAAAAAGTATTATACCAATGTTTTTGATTTGATTATTTGATTGGGGTGATGTGTTTAAGATTTTTTTTAAAAAAAATTTTATGTGGGGTTTTTTTTATTTTTTTATTTTTTGTATAACTTTATTTGGATTTATAATTATTAACTTTTATTTAAATTTTTTTTATTTTATTAATAAATAAAAAATAAAATAAAATAAAAATAAGAAAAAAAAATAATAATAATTTAAATATTTAATTAATTATTTTAAGAAAAAAACAAAATTATCTGAAATATATAAATATATTACTATTAATATTAATATTATACTATTTATTTATTTATAAATATATTATTATAATTATTATTGTTATTATGATACCAAATAGATATATATTGTATTATTTATATAAAAATGTATGGTATGAATAAAAGAATGTATCTTTATTTAATTTTTTAAAATTTTTTAAAAATAAATTTAAATTTAAATTAATTTAAAATTTAAAATTTAAAATTTAAAAATTTAAAAATAATATACTTTGTAATTGAATATATAAATAATAATTGTGGCTATTATAACTATAAAAAAATAAAAAATAAAAAAAATAAAAAAACGAAAAAAAATTAAAAAAAAAAAATTAAATTTAAATTAAAAAAAATAATAATTTAATTATTTTTTTTTTTAATTTTTTTTTTTTTTTTTTTTTTATTTTTTTAAATTGTATTTAAAACCATAATAATATTAGGTTGAAATACAGATCCAAGTTTAAAAAACAATTCAAATTTAAATATTTATTAAATTCTGATTTAAATTGAAATTAATTTTATTTGATTTTTTTATATTTAAAAAGATATTTTATTTATTTTTATTTTTATATTATTTTTGGGTTGTTTTTTTTTTTTTTTTTTTTTTTTTTTTGATTTTAATTAAAAACACCCTATAATTACCCCCCCTTTAAAAATTAATTAAAAAAATTGGGAAAAAAAATTTTAAAAGTTGAAATTTTGGTTATTGGAAATGTTGTTGGGGGGGGGGGGGGTTTTTTCCTTTTTTTGGGTTTTTTTTTTTTTTTTGGGGGGGGGCTTTTTTTATTCTTTGGGGGGGGAAATTGAATTTTCATTACCTTTATTTTCAAAATTTTCATTACTGGGGGGGATTGGTTCAAAAATTTCATCATTTTCCATTTT